TCTCTCTCTCTCTCTCTCTCTCTCTCTCTAACACACGCTCTCTCAGTCAGTCACTCACTCCCTCTCTAACCCGCAGTTTGTATTGTGTTTGGCCTCGCATTCACTCTATAATACTTATACGATATATATTGTGATGAAAGACTTCACTGCGAGAGTCAGTGAAAACCAATCAATTATTATTACCAAATATTTGGCTCTCAGTTAAAAAAAATTGAGACTCACTTTTCAATCGTGTCTCAATTCCTGTTGTAATGTCCGCTAAATTACCACTTCGTCCCCAATTCGTGACACTTTTACACAAGAATCCACTCTCGAGTTAAATTACGCTAAAGAATATTCTTGAAAATTTTCATCAACGAGAATATATATACAGAGAGTGAGAGAATATTCTGTGTCTGTGTTTATATTCTGTGTGTTCCTAATACTCGGCGCCCGTATAAGTGGTGCCACAATTCTGTGTTACAATACATTTAACAAAATAATTAAATAATGTCTTCATTTCACGTCCAGCCGGTGTCGGAAGAGCCGGTCGATTGGGGTGAGAGTCCGCACTGGGATGAGTCCCGACAGCGGTTGTCATACGTGGACTGTTTCGCCAAAACTATCCACCAAATAGACCCGGAAAGTGGCAAATGTGACCGCTTTTCCATCGTCTCGGCCACCAACCGGTCCACACCGATGACCACGATGGCAGTGCCGGGCACTGGCCAGTGCGAGCCCGCGTACCTCATCACACTCGGCAACTCCATAGCCAAATACAGTCCCGATTCGGGCGATATATTAAAATTGGCGGACATCGAGAGCGGCTCCTATTTTAATAACGGAAAGTGCGATCCGAGGGGCCGGCTATGGGTCGGCTCTTTCACAGGTACTGTTGTATTGAATTATTTCTTTCGGTGTATTTTTTGTGGTTTTGTTTTTTATATATATATTTTGCAACAAAAAAGCCATTAATTTTGAACGAATGCGTGAAATAAATCAATTTGTTCTCAGCGTTTGGTTTCGCTAATGAATACAGTATTTTATTGAGTGTAATCCCAATTCACAGTAATTTTAATTTTGCAGCTTATAGGTTTATAATTTTTTAAATATAATGCTTAATGTTTTTAAAGTGCAAATTTTTAATGAATGTTGCTAATATTTTTAGCTTGCCTTAATTTTTAAGTTTTTAAGCATAAAGTAATTGCTTGAGTAGTTGCCCAAAACTATTAGGCTTAAGACGAGTGAAGTGAGATTAATATGTTTTGGATGGTAATAATATTTTGATAAATTACTTTATTATTCAGACAAATATCAAAATCATATTTTGTTGCTATACCATCATTAATATTAATACAACATTAGTACGAGTTGTGTTCAGTATATAGCATATCGCTGCCAGTGAATCGCGGCTAAGCCGTGCATATTTCTCGCAAACCTTGTCCGCGATTTATTGAGTTTTTTGAAATATTAATAGAAATAGTATAACAATAAAAGGCAGACCACTGTTTGTAATGATTGTCGCGAAACAAATAATTTATATTTAGAAATATGTATATAATTATAGACACATAAAACTAAAATAAAAAAGTAATTAAAACATTAATGAATACTTAAATGTCAACCATAATCACAAATATAGGAGAACCGGGAAATCCGGTCACAATGGTTAGGGGCGGCGGTAATCTATACGAGTTCAGTAACGGCACACTCAGTACTAAGTTCACCGGCCTATCCATTCCCAATGGTATCACGTGGTCGGCCGACGGGCGCAAGATGTTTGTGGTGGACACTATGGAGCGGACAATTAATTGCTTTGATATTGACCAAGAGTCGGCCACAATCGGTACGACTATATTTTGTATATCATTTGAGATATTATTAATGTCTAAATATTCCTTTAGGCAAAAGTTTGTTATAAAATTTTTGAATATTTAATGTAATATTGATTTTTGTGGTTATTTTATGTGATATTCTTCAGGCAAGAAAAAGGCATTTTTCAGCTCAAACCAAGATTTCAGTTTTAAAGGCACGGAAATACCATACGGTATAACAACGGACATCCGGGGCAACCTATGGCTGGCCGTCTACTACGGCGCGAAGATATTGAATATCGATTGCAATACAGGTTTGTGTCAAATGTGAAATGATTTTGCAAATTGAGATTTTATGTGCAGTTATTAGAGTTAATGATAATTATTAAACCGAAAAATAATTGATTGAAACGCATGAATGCCATGTGTTTTCATACGGCTTTTGTGTCATCAAAAATAAAAAAGCAAAAATGCTTTAATGAATATTGAAATCAATAAAATAAACGCAAAATACTTATACGAATAGCGAGTGAGTAAAAAATGCATTAATTAAATGACATTTCTGGGAGAATATACACAAATACAGAGAATATTCTGCAAATTCTTTACGCTTTAAATACCAAACATTTTGCAGTTAAATAATTTACTCGACAATTGTATTGTGTTTTTTGTTGTTGAATGTTTGTGTTTAGCAAAAGTAATTAACAAGATCGATTTGAGCGCCCATATGGTAACATCTGCCTGTTTCGGGGGCATCGAAATGAACGAGCTGTTTGTCACCTCGTCATACCGGGGTCTTCCCACCCAACAGATCAGCGCACAACAGGCCGGACACACATTCAAAGTGACCTGTTTTCGGGACAACTCCTTCAAAGGCTCGGCCAGCAGTCCGTTCACACATTTTTGAGACTACTATTGGCACCCAAATGTTATACCAATGTATATATGTTTAGAAATTATAATTACAAATAATTAATTCCCATTTTAATGAAGAATGTAGTTATTTAAAAATTATTCTCTCTCTCTCTCTCTCTCTCTCNTAATTATAATTTCTAAACATATATACAATGGTATAACATTTGGGTGACAATAATAGTCTCAAAAATGTGTGAACGGACTGCTGGCCGAGCCCTCTCTCGATTTGGATATTAATTAGTTGTCGACACGAAAGCGCATCCATAGAAATAATATAAAGAATTAATTGATATAATTAAATACATATCACCGCCAATATATACAGTGTATTTCCAAAGGGCATAAGTAACTCAAAGTACAGGTAAAAAGAGGTCATAAAATGAATAAAAGTACCAGGTGCTTTCACCGTAAACCCCATCCATATGTATGTATTTATAGTATAGTTATTATATAACAAATATTAAGTATACGAGTGCTCTCCCAATAATAATGATAATAATAGTAACGGTAGAGTAGTGTTAGCTTAAGTTTGAATGTCTTCATGAGTCCCTATAATTAGGTGATAGTCTTCATAGACGCCATTCTGTCCGCCAAATGTGATCACAACTATCTCTCATATGTTTTAATATATATTTTATTGTCTTGTAGTCCACAAAATGTGTAGCGCAATAAACACCGCATTTATATATGATATTACTATAGATATAAAACTACTACTGAATAAACTGATAGCAAATAAACCAAGATGAAAAAAGTGACTTAATTTTGTCCATTTGTTAGCCGTTATAAAGTAAATATTGATTTTAGACTTAATTTTAGAAGTCGTGTCCACTTTGCCTGACAGTTCAATCTCATTGCTCTCTCCCAATCTCTCTCAAAGTCTCTCTCTCTCTCTCTCTCTCTCTCTCTCTCAAAGTTTTATTGCTTTTGAGCGACAAATTCCGGCCCATTGTTTGTTTGGTAAGAGAAGTAATACTTATAAAAACATAATAATAATAATGATTTCTTTTGTGAACTAAAACCGTATTTATTTATTTTTTGTGAAGAGTTTTTGTGTAATTAGTTTACAAATCCATTCAATTCGTGGATATAATAATTGTTTGCTCGCATCTCAAGTGTTATCGTCTCCACTATTACCGGTGCGACCGATAATAATGAACACTATTTTCTAGATATATTATAGAGATTATACTGTATTCTGTATATAACCCAGGTAATATGTATTTGTTAATAGATTTATAATATACATGTACTTTATATGTGTATAAATTTAGAAATAAATTATTTTTTGATTTCTGGGGTAAATCAATATAAATTTCAATAGTTATACGAATTATATTTAATTAAAAACTAATAAATATCCGTCAAATATATAGTGAAAAATATGTTAATTATAAATGTTTTTGTCGATAACGTTGACAGTTATGTAATGTAATTGTCATAAACACAAACTGCTCTTTGATTTCCTATATTTAATTACATTCTTTATATATTAAATAATATTATGAGAATATAATTACAAATGAATGCAATTAAACCGTTTGAGTGCTATTTTGTTGTGGAATTGAGTGCTAAACTGATCGAGTGGTAAAGTTAGCGCAGGTTAAAATTTTAGCCAAGGTGTAAATTCTAGAGAATCGTTATAATTAAATATTTATAAGAGTGTTGTTATTTTATTTTTAGATATAATTTTATGAAATTCTGTAAAAATCCAATTTAACTCAAAATGTTTTCAATGTTTTATCTCATATATATTTTAGAGTTTATATATAATTGATATAATGTTTAGAAAATTGGCAAAAGTTTGGTTTAGTAATGATTTTAAAATTATTATTTTGATGCCGCAATTTTGCTAAATTACGGTCTATAATATAGGCTCTCTCTCTCTCTCTAACACACGCTCTCTCAGTCA